CACTGACTTTTTGGAGCAGGTGAATGGCGGCAGCGTCGCTAATGTATTTTTGTAATATGCTGTACCCTTAATTTTGGTTTATCGTTCATCTTATCGACTTGTTTTTTTTCCTGACGGAATTATACTAACTGTTTATTTTAGCCAGTAGTTTAGTTGACAATCGAATAAACATTTTTAACCAACTTGTATCATCCAGTGATACGAATTGCTGCTAAAGATTATTTTTTTGTTACTACATCTATTCTTGTACTTATTATCGTCAAGCAGCTTTGCGAACTATTCGGTCTCGCCGACTTTCATATCAGTACATCGGTGAACAATGTTTGTGCCAGGACCTTTATTTTCACCAGCAACTAGTTTGTTACTGTTACTAGTAAATCCAGTATTTCTTCCGTTATTTGCTGAAGGTTATGTAGAAATTTTGCTTGACTCTGGTGACTTTGGAAAGTATAAGGGTGAAAAATATTTGGAATTACAAACTGGTGACAATCTGACATTAATTTGTGATTCTCATTCCCTTATCACATGGTATGGACCAAATGGCACCAAATTAACAGACAGTCATGCTGGCGGAGTAAGTTTCTTCATTCCTCTTGTATGATTTGCATTAGGGTCTATCAGAAAAGTATTATTATTTTTATTATTATTTTCATAGCTGTCTTACTTTTTAACTTATTGATAACTCAGAAGTGATTATAATGTCTTTTTTTAAATTCAACTACTAAATGAAGTATATTGTCCTGAGGTGACGCAAAGTTAATCAGAACTTGCATAAAACGGTATTTTCTGCTTGGGTAAAGGGGATTTTTTTAAAGCTTAAATGGAATAATGCTTAAGTCATTTGTATAGTAGTCTTTTGAAAGAAGGGTATAATTCCGAAGAGGTTCAGTTGGGTTTTGTTTCGTTTCAGTTGTGAATCACAAGTTGCGACGTAACTGTTTGGCTAGTCTTTAGTCATAATTTTAGGGTCAACATTTGCGCCTAATCCGCCTCGTCATTAGGTAATTTAGGGGTTACATTTTTTTTTTTTTTTGCTTTAGTTTTGTCTTCTAAAACCAGTACAGTCTAATTGCACATAATGAACGTTATTCATTGTTCAATTCAATTTTTAAAGGCCAAACAGTGAATTACTGTCTGACATTTAATTGTTTAATTGGTGTTGAATTCAACCAAGGTGAGAAATTTCTTGTTCTTTGTAAACTATTGCTTACATGTCCTTTTTTTTTTTTCACTTAAAATTTTAATATTTATATTGAAAAGTGTTGGACAGTTTTCTCTTAGTTTGATAAAAGTAATATTTTTATTAAATCTTCTTTTACTTGTTTAATTTTATTTTGAAATTTTAATTTACTGTGCATTAAAAATTATTATTTTTTTTTTTTTGTAAGATATGTTTACAGTTTTTTTAACGCTTATTTTTTTTAAAATGCTTTCTGAAAGTTTTATTTTTGAAGATATTCTGTATAAATTATTCTTGTTGATAATATTACCAGTAATAGCGATAAGAACTTTTAAGTTCATTCATGTGTAAACTTTTATTTCTTTTGATTGTTTTTGATAGAAGATAAAGTATATTTTTGGAATGCTTGAGATAGCTTAGTGAGTTTGTGATTTGGATGTCAAAAGATACATTTTTTTCAATGTCTAGTTTAGTTTTCGCACTAAAGAAAGTTATTTAAGGTTACTGCAGATGGGGTTGATAGGCAGCTTATTCTTTTTCTTGAGTTATGTTTTTCTACAAAAAAATTACTGCTGAAAATTGAAATTTGCGTAATTTGGTTATGACGGTTATTTCTACGATTATCTGCGTTATTTCAGACGTTTTTTTTTGTAGAAAATAGACTGCACTGTATACTATTAGGTACACTTTTTTAAATTAAACTTTCTACTTATCAAATTTTAGTTTTTCTTGGATTGAAAAGTAACTTGATAGCTGTTTAGCTTTTTTTTTTTCAATTTGCAATTATAAAAGCATTATTTTTATTTGTTTAATCATTCTAAAATTATTTCGACAATATAGCAATAACACTTTTCAGATTAGGACTTCTCACATCTTTTTTGACTGCCAATGTTTTTCAAGCAAAATTTTATAACCGTCCTTCTGATCTAGTTATCCTCCTCTGCCTTCACTTCGTTTGTAGAGTCACCCAGCCGCAGCAGTTCAAAAATTTTAAACTTTTAAAGGACAGTTTATTAGCATTTAAATCGCTAATTTCAAGAATGATTAACAGGCTTTACTGGTCGAAGGCCACGTTGTAAGGCCGTGTTTTTAAAAGCTTCTTAAATGGTCGCCAGTTTGTTTGTCATACTAAAAAATGCCCGTTTTGGCTTTTTTTCGATCGTAAACTTTACCAGCTCTCTAACGGTTTTACCACTCTCTTCTTCCTCACTCTGACATCTTTGCACTATCACTACTCGAAAAACATTTTTTTCATCAATAAGCATAGTTACTTAAGGGTTTTTTAATTCTAAGCACACTTGTAGAATTTCATATTAAAAATTAAAAATCTTTAGCTGGCAACAAATTCTATAGTTTAAAGACGGTTTTGCTTACTTTTTATGGTACATGGTGAATGTCAACAAACAGTCGCTCAGGTCCTCTGAAAAAAGCTGAGCATATAAAGACAGATTGTGAATGAAGATACTGTCTAGTTATTCGTTTTTCAAAGTGTGGTTTTTTTGGAAGTTGTTGGAAAGATTTTTTGCGAAGACAGTGGGTAGTTTAGAAAAGGAGAAAAACAGATGTTGTACTTGGAAGTTCAGAATGAGAAATTTTTCAAAGAACTTTTTGGATTTTCATGTTTTCTAACTTAGTTTTCTTCCACTTGTCATTACTGCCCGCTAAAAAATGC